CGCCCCAGCATCACCTCTATGGTGGCACCACCTTGCCAGTAGAATTTTTAGAGATACAAAGATCTAGGAAAATGTCTTAAAACAAGGAAACATTTGAAGAAGAACAAAAGACAAGGAAATAGACTTTGAAATGAATGCTATTTGGTTTCTTATGGAAGCTAACCAGTGAACATGTTCACTGACCTACTGCTGACACGCAAAACTTTTACAACCGTCACCATAAAGTTTATTGGCATGGAGTCTTCCAGGCTAATTAGGACAGTGTAAAACATTCTGCAACATATAAAATGACTTCGTACTCTTGCAGTGAGTATCTGCTGGGGATAGAGGAGAGAAGAAGAATGTAGCATACAATAAAAACACGCTGGTAGTTTGATGCAAGGCAAGGAAAACAGTTTTCTGTATTTCTTCGTGTCTTCAATCTTTAAGAGATGCTTTAGAGATATTAATAGATGAATTCAGGGCTACCAAATCATGTATGAGACTGAAGTAGCCATGGAAACAATCTGAGGAACAAGAACTCATATGCGAATTTCTAAGGTAATGTAATTACCTATAAACAAACAGCTGCCCCATTGTCACAGTAAGTAGAATGGTTATTTCACATAAGAGAAACTTTTCTATCAATACAATTCACTAGCATTCATAAGATGCTATTAGGCAAGGAGATTACTGGCTGACTCATGAAAACCATCCTGCTTATTTTCGTTACTCATTCTCCTTAGTATCATTACCACGAACTTTGTGTAAATATCTGTGGTAATATTCACACTGAAAGATAATGTTTTTTCAGTGGTTTGTGTCTACATTCAGAGCTTATGACTCAACTCTCAGCTTTAAGTTTTCTTTGGAAATAGATGTTACTAATGCTAACTGCAACAGGCTTATTTCCAGAGCTGAGATTCCATATTAATGCTTGCTCTGTTTCAGATCAAGCCTGTGACTCCAACAAAACTTTTCACTGTTAGTACTTAACCACCTCTATTTGATCTTTAGATTTAACAGGAAGACTAAGTAGGAACCATATTGACCATGATTGCTGACATTTTCTTTCTTATTTTCTTTTTTAAACTTGCATCTTTTGCTGTGGTAAGATTTCTTACTACTTTCCCTGCTATTCCCAAACTAATTTCAAAGATTCCTTTTTCTTCTTTTTCTTTTTTTTTTTTTTTAATGAGACCTCACAGCAGATGAGAACCATGCACTGAAAGCATAAACAGCGTTAGCTTGTGCTGCACTTGACCGTGTCACTCTATTCTGAGGTAATGGTTTTATCTGTTATCATTCCTTTTTAACTTTATTTATGTTATTAGATTGCATTACCAGACTAATCATAATCTATGAGGCTCCTTTTGCAGTTCTCCTTTCTTGTAAATTGTTGACAGATGACCATTTCTTGTTCTGATTTATACACTACAACAATTTTAATCACCAACCCTCCTCTTTGAGCATGCATTCCTGATTTCCATGGAATACATGAGCAAGATAGATTGAGTGAAATAATGCACCTGAAATTAGAGATAAATTGACAGGATTAGAACAGATGGCACAAATAAAGTTTAAGAAACTGTAACTCAACATCATGCACTTAAACATGACAGCAACAGAACGAGAAAAATCCTGCAGAAGCATGGAAAATAAAAAAAAATAAGATTGAAAAATATATTAATTCCGGGAATACAATTGATTTATTCAATTTTTCCAAACAACTTATGTGAAATTTTTTAAAATGAATTATTTGCTTTGCAGAAGAAACATGCTCAAAATTCAACAGAATCCAATTAAAAGCCTAAGCAATGTGTTTCAGGTTTTCACTGGTAGCTCTTTCAGTAACCACAGTAGTAATTTACACTGAACACAATGAGTTTTACTCATGTCACATTGAATTTTCAGCAGCTAATTGGAAACAATTCTCCACATTTTAAGCATTCATTTATTTAAGATTTATTTCAAATTTCTACCAGTTACACATTTCCAGAGTCTGAAAGAGAACCTGTGTCAGATCCTATCCAACACAAAGCTATTTTTTACATGCAGTATTATAGTGGATAGAGGTGGATAACACAATAGGCAGTAAACTAGGCCACTGTACTAGCCCTTCTTTGTACTTCCGATGAGCCCATCGTGATAACACGGGCAAGTTTTCCTAGAACCCCTTTATCTTTTCAGACTGCAAAAAACATTACTTAGGGAAAAAATTCATCTGATTAAGGCCAGTAACACTAATGCAGTAAATAGAAACAAATACAAGTGTAATGTCTCAAATATTCCCATCTTGTCACTATGAGTGTTATAGCCTCTGGTACCAAAATAATTCACTGCTTCACTACTTCATTGGGCATCTTTGGCTTCCCGTTCAAATGACAAAATCTGTTTAGCTCACTTTCCTTTCTTAGAGGAACTAGAACATTTCAAATATCAATCTTCCAATCAGGGACCTTCTCATTTCCTACGTTTCACTCACAATTAACAACTAACCACTTAAGTCATATTCTGCTCAGCTGTCACTTGCTGGCATTCCTCTGCATGAGATCCCTTGGCAGAGGGAAGTCATGCTTTCTAAAGAATCTCTGTAGCAGTTGATGCTGAAAACAAAGCAAACATGGACAACAAAGACAACTTTTTTAATAGGTCTGAACAACTCTCAGGTTGTCAATATGAAATTCACGTGGATTTTAAAATATCAGGCTACACTGCAGAGAATTAAGAGTTATACATCACAATGAAGGAAATGAGTAAAGTAGATGATTACCAAGATTAATATTGGAATCAAGGTGCTCTTGCCTATATTATCTGATGTTTGTTAAGGTTTTAAAAACTGCCATCATGCAAGACAGATTCATGGTGAGCACACATCATGTATGCAATGTGGATCACTAGACAGTTCCCCCCAAAAATGTACATTGGCTTTCATCCTGCCAGAACTTTTGTTACTGCTCATCACCGAGACATCAAGCATTGGCTGCAAAACACCATTTGTCCCTGAGTCTCTCAGGTGCTAAACAATACTTCCAAACCAAGCCTAAATCAGAATCATTGCGGAGAAGAATAATACACTTTTAACTTTTTAGGCTGCATTAGGGCAGTATTTCTGATCTGGTTGATTAAGAAGACTTGTTATTTATAATGCCAGCTGTTTATTTGTATATGAGAGCACTTACCTCCTGCAAAGCTGTCTTCTCTCCTTTTCACTACAACTTTCAACAGTCCCAAAAAGAAACTGAAGTTCCTTTTTGCTAGTGTTCTAGCAATCTAAGCTAAATGTTCCCTAGACAACTTCCACTAACTGCCAGAAGGATCTGTACGCTGTTCCATAGGCAAGACAGTAACCTTCTCTTCCACTGTAAGGCTTATATAAATCTCCTCTGCCTTTTTCCTGAGGAGGCAGACAAACACTAAACAGAAGGAGAATGTCTCATTTACAAAAAACGGTATAAAAGCCAAAGGAAGCTTCCAAAGTGATTGCTATAATGAAACTTGTCAAGGCTGGAAGTCAGATGTGGCTAAAGAAGACTCAAAAAAGGCTTTTTCAGCGGGTCAGGATGTACAAAGGTTGAGACACAAAAATGGTATTTTTGTTTAAACTTAATACAAATATTAGGGGCCTCTTGAACTTTGAAAGAAAGTTAAATTGCCGGCTGCCTATAAACTTTATTTTAGTCCTGTGTGCAGGAAAATAGAGTCATTTTGTATTTTACATGAAAACAGAAGAATGTCTTGCTTTGGCAGAATAAGAAGTTACTGTGAGAAGCCTGTTACTAGACAGACATTATCTGTGACTAAACTTTTTTAGCTGCCTTACTGTTGTGAAAAATAATCAATTACCTATAATATTCCTTAAATCCTGCAAATTCCATGTTCTGCATTTTTTTGTTACCTCACATTCAACACAAAAGGCTTTGTCCAAGTACATAATAAAAACAAATAATCTTCTGTTAAAACAGAACTTCAATAAAAAACCTGTAACCCTCCTCTGTCATTGCTGAAGCATCATTTCCCCATTACAGGTTTCCAAGTCTATACACATCATTATCTATAAACTTATTTCAAAGTTATCAGATAGCTATCATGATAAAAAAAAAAAGCTTTTCATGAAAGCATCCAATGGTCAGTCCCAGAGATCATGTTGACCTGCTGTATGTCTTAGAGAATCCTGTAGTGAATACAGTACAGGAGGACTGAGAAAACAAGCTATCAGATAGAAGACTCATATTGAAACATGCATTCGGTGCTAAAATGACAAAATATAAAGGGCATGATGTATGTCAGAACTGTATAATGGCCTACTGAAAAGTGCACCTTATGAAGAACAAATGATGTTAAAGAAATTTAGGCAGTTCTAGATTTGCAGCAAAGTATTATTGACAGTTTTATATATCAAAAACTGAGAATCGTTATTTAAAACTGTACTGAAGAATGCACAATCTTCTAGTGCTTGAAGAGATAAATCACTCAGAACTTCGTGAGAATAAGTCAAGTGTCTTATGCTTACAATAAACTATGCATGGTTCAGAGGAAAACCACAGATCTCCCAATCTAGAGGGAAAACAAAAACAAACCTATTTTAAGCTTAAAATCAATCATAATTCTTTGGCATTATGGTAGATGAACTCTAGAAGGAAATGCACTGAGATAAGTACTGTGATTAACTGATTACTAGCTGAGATTACTTGTCAGTTTGGTCTGGTGAGATGGTTTTTTTTCAATCCATGCTTGGAGACTTATGCTCTCAATCCTGCACATGGTCAATTTTTCACAAGAAGGCTACAGTCTCTCAAATGGGACATTATAAACCATTACAACACTTGCCATAATTTTGGGTGCCTTCTGCTACAGAGAATTCCCTGCACTAATTCTGTAAGGAACCTCCTGCAATTCCTTCCATGAAATGCCTCTTTATTGGAACTTTGGCTTAACTAACCCCATAGAACTTATATTTTGAAAATGTTTAAGCATATAGTTGCAATTGATACAATTTAATGAAGTCTCGTGTTCGTTACCTTTAAAGATGTTTTAGTTCGAGGTTCTGCTTTCTGCCTGGTGAGCTTGTTTTGAATGAGCAATGACTGATCTGTACGAACATCGTAATTCCCATGTTCTGAATCATCTGTGTACGTGTCTTTGTCCTTTCCTATCTCTGAAGAAAAAACGAAATAAAACAGGGAGCTCATTTTAGGTTATTGTGGAAAGAAACAGAAAAGCTACAGCCACGGTTGAATATTCCTTTGAAGTATTCATTTTTAAATAACTTCCTTTCCTGCAAAAGCTTTGTATTTGAAATGGCTGTCTTAAACTAGAAACGACTTCTATTTTAGTACAGAGCCTACTAAAAATGTTTTGCTATCATAATTCAAATTAAAAAAGCCCACAAAGTTCTTCATTTTAGTTACAGACAGCAACAACAAAAAAAAACAAAAACAAAACTCTACACAATGATAAAAGTAAATGAAGTAAACATTCAGATGCTTTGGTGCTTGACTCTTAATTGAGGCATTACACATTACTTAAAACCTGCACATTAAGGTACCACAGTGACCACTTCAGAACACAGTCTGAGGAGTACCTGATGATCACAGAAGACAGCTGACACCACAAAAAAGTGCTTTGCTCTTTGCTGCTTTTATTTTTAACTATTCAACAAAAATATCTGTAAACATATTTGAATATTTCAGGTTGGATATTTGGAAAAATCTCTTCTCTGAAAGAGCGGCCAGACGCTGGAATGGGCTGCTCAGGGAGGTGGCTCCCTGGAGGTGTTCAAGAAACATTTAGGAACACAATTTAGTGGGGAAATATTGGTAGCAGGTGAACTGTTAGACTTGATGATGGAGGTCCTTTCCAACCTTGGTGATTCTATGATGATTCTATGAGTATCCTAACTGTAAGTAACTGAGAACCCTCAAAGCTTATTAGGACCAATTATTATAGGTTAGATGTGTCCACACCCTCTGAATTAAGTTTCGAGTCAGTCTACATGATTCTGCCAAAAGGGAGGGGTTTTTTTCAGATACTGAATTTCCTCACACATTCTCCATCTAAAATATCATGACAAGAATTTCTCAGTAGCACTAAAGTGAGGGATAATGTGTGCACGCTGTGGGACCATGCAATTTATATTGAACACTGGAAAAATGTTTAGATTTGAAAAAAAAAATCTTAAAGATTAAAAAGATGAAATAATTATTCCCACACATCTATGTCTAGAAAAAAATACAAATTGAAACTATTCAGGCAGAAAAGTTACTCTCAAATCATGAGCCAAGTTCTCATCTCACATCAACATGGGAAAAGTCAGAGGAACTGGGAACAGTATTTATCCCAGTAATTCTAAACCCTAAATAGAAGCCAAGAAAAAAACCATGGTTGCTGTGGGAACTGCAATCTTGAATTTCCTGAATTTTATATTCAGAAAAGCTCATCTGCAACAACAAAGTATTCTTCATTCAGTTGCTCAGCCAAATTCTCAACAGTAAATATTACGGAAAAAAATAACCACAATTATCTCATGTAGCCTAAACAATTCTGAGCAGGGATATTGAACTGGAACATTTACAGAGAACTGCTTTTCCTACTGTTTAGCTACTTACATAGTAATCACACCAAATGAGCCCTCAGTAATTTCTGATGCTGATATTGACCTCAGTAAATCTGTGAAGGGACATTTTAATGTATCTTATAAATTATATATACATAGCCTATTTGAACTGTGAAAGCACTAAACTTGACTCTTAGAAAGTATTACTGTCTGGACAACAAAAGCAAATTAACACAAAGACTGCAGAATGCTTTAAAGTAGGAGGTATACAAGGTAGGAAACAGGATTCTTAAGTAAATGAGCTGACCTGACTTACTCCCAGATGTCACCAGCTCTTATATTTCTAAAGATCAAGAGCTTAGAAGAGAATCCAGTAAAATAAAAGGGAAGGAAAATGAAACTCAGCCTCTTATAGTCAGATAGGCTATCAGCGTTGAAAGAAATGCTTCGCTCATACAAAAAAGTCTGCATTTGTGAGCTAAGTTTTGACAGGATTAAACACTTTGAGTACATCTCACATTCCCCCAAAATTGGGCAAAAGTTTTATTTAAATAATTCAGTCATGAGTTTCTCCTTATTGTAGTTCATGTGTTGTCAAGAACACAGCTTGTAAAGTGTACTACCCATTTTCTGGAAAAAAAGAATTACCTTCCATTTAGATATATGCTATCTTATATGAAATATATGCCAAAAAGGTTTTAGCCACAACCTTTCCACACCCCTCAACAACAAATAAGGAAACCTACAGTTAAAAATAATATAGAACTTACATAATAATACTTATTACTGTACATTTAAACATGACATTTTATGCACCAAAACCACTATCTCACAAGACAACAGTATCAAATACAGCAAAAATGGGAAGAATGATGATTAACACCTAGCATTCTATCATAGCAGTTTGTTATATCTGTATGAAAAAACATCACAGACAGCAGATGTCAGATGGAAAATTTTAGAAGATGACCTCAATTAAAATGAGATGAAACTTTAGGTTAAAAAAGAATTGTCAGTGCTGTCAATGGCATTCCCCTATGAACAGGCTCTTTTTTGTGATAAGGTATCCACCACTTGCATTGAGAAAAAGAAAGATGAAGTTTCTCTTCTAGAATTTTCCCTTTAAATCAAAATGACATTCCCCTAAGGATGAAATTATACAACCTAAATTACTTGAAATATGATGGCTTCTAGCCACATTTTGTACAAATGCAGTCATTTAACTTCTTCAGCCTTTCTTGAAGAACTGCAGCTTTAAAACTTCCACAATTTTTATATAACTCTTTTCTATGAAGTAACACTATTTTCTGCCATCTATTCTTCCACAACCTTTGTTTGTTTGTTTTGTTTTCATTTCAACTGCCATCTGGAATTGCCACAAGCCAAATCAAGATAATAACCCCAATGCTGTGACTGGAGATGTACTGCCCAGAGGTGTTTTTAATACAACATCCCCCAGAAAGCAGTGAAATGGACTAAGACTCTATTTGGCTTGCATTATAAGTATCCATCTTTAAATTCAAACACAGAGAGCCCTTATTTAGCTGCAGCTTCACAAAACATGATGAGAAAACCTTGTCCACCTCAAGCTCTTCACTCTGTGCTGTGGGAATGCTACTGTTTACTAAATTTTATTTTATTTTTCTATTTCCCATCCTACCTTCCCTGGCCTATGACAACCAACCGGATGGTTACTGCCAAGAACAAATGTCAGCTAAAGCTGCTCTTGTAGCTCTTGGATGGACTCTGGCGCCCATCACAAGCTAACCTACCTTCTGTGGGGAGGAGGAGAGTGCAGGCAAGGAGCCACTAGAGAAAAAAAAAGCAAGTCCAGTTCATTATTGCTGTAGAACTTCAGGTGTTTTTCTTTTGTTTGGTTGTTTTTTTTTTTTTAACTTTTGAGGGAATTAGCTAACAGTCACCAAGCCACTCTCAATGATGTTTGAAAAGTCATGATGGTGCACTGAAGTCCTGGTAACTGGAATACTATATGGTGTACATGCTGTAGAAAACGTTTCACCTGTATACCTATACTTAAAAACCACAAGGAGCACAGCTGGTAAGTGCAGGCTTTTCTTAGTGTACAGTTTCTCACGCAGGTGTAACCATTAAACAGAATGTACATCATTTTCACAAAGGCAGTCAGCAGGTTTTTATGGTCTCTGGAGGAGGTAAAATGGTATGCAGAATTTATACAGGCAGATTAAATGCCAAAAATACTTAGATTTTGAATCTCATTATTATTTTTTCAGAAGATGAACTCTTTCACTTAGTTCCGTGAGCACCACATTCCGAAATACATTCTCAGTGAGCACTGAGAGCAGAGAAGACTCCAGAGAGTGCTGAAAGCAGCCTTTCATTATTCAAAGGGGGTTTACAAAAAATGAGGGGACAGACTCTTTAGAAGAGTCTGTGGTGATAGGACAAGGAGAGACAGCTTCAAACCAAAAGTGGGGAGATACAAATGGGACATAAGGAAGAGGTGGGGAGGTACTGAAATGTATTGCCCAGAGAGGTAGTGGATGCTCCGTCCTTGGAGACGTTCAAGGTCAGGCTGGACGGAGCTCTGAACACCTGATGGAGCTGTACGTGTCCCTGTTCACTGCAGGGGAGTTGGGCCAGATGACCTCTAAGGGTTACTCCCAACTCAGAAAAACCCTATGGTTCTTATAGATCACAGAACTGCATCATTCATGCTGCTGTCTCCCCAGGCATGAACTGGATCTAGGCTGAGAAATGGACAGTGCTCTCAGACATCGAATCACAGAATGGCTGGGGTTGGGAGGGACGCCAAGAATCACCGAGTTCTAACTTCCCTCTCACAGACCGGGCCTCCAACCTCCAGATCTGACACAAGGCTCCATCCAACCTGGTCTTGAATACCGAAAGAAACTTGAATTCAAGAAAAGGTCTGATGGAGCTCTGGGCAACCTGGTCTTGAATACTTTCAGGGATGGATCATACACCACCTCTCGGCCAGCGCCTCACCACCCTCTGTAAAGAACTTCTTCCTGACATCCAGTCCAAACCTTTCCTCCTTGAACTTAACATCTTTCCTGTATTGGGGGCAGGTACTCCAGATGGGGCCTCAAGAGGGCAGAGTAGAGAAGGACAATCACCTCCCTGCCCTTGCTGTCCACCCCTCTTCTGATGGAGTCCAGGGGCACATAGGAGTACACAGAGTATATTATAAATTGTCCTCATGTCTCAACACAGTCAGAATAGATGTGATCACCCTTTCTCACACAAACACTGGCTGAAAAATCAAACAAATTTCTGAAAAATGTATTCTAAACAGCACAGTGGAAACCTCTCATTTCTGTTGAAGCAGAAATTAAGTTTAGCTTTTCTGAGTCAGACTCTTTGCAATCTCTGCATTACTATGTATAAAGCATTCATAATTGACCTAATTCAGAGATAAAAAAAAACTCAAAGGATGAGAAAAGAATAAATGAATTAGAAAGTGTTGTTTTATTTGCTAATGAGGCAGCTGACAAATTTCCAAATAAGAGAAGAACTAAACATTTTTTATATCTAAACCCCAAAAGCCAATTTCTATTGATTTTATTATCCATTATTCATTTTTGACACCTTATTTGAAAGGAGACATTTCAGCTTGCTATTGTTCTGTATCCACCAGCACTGTTTAGAAAGCTATTTACATGTACATATTTCTGTTAGAATGAGCAAATTGAATTTTCCAGTTAACAAGCTGACTGGGCAGCTTGCAGGTTTTTCACCTGGTCTTCTGATATGGCCTGACTTCTGAAAATCTTGATACTTTAGCTATATGTGATTTTTAAAGGCATTAATCTATTCTGTTATAAAAAATCCCTTTGTGGATGTGGCTTATAATGTCTGGCATAAAGGAACTCAAACCTGGCAACACTAATGACAGAAATTTTGAAAGGACGGAGTGGATGGAAAAACAGGCTGCGTATCTATCCAAATATTTCTGCTGCCCTCCTATTCCTGATACTAAACCCAAAGGTTGATTTGACAAAAGACCTCAGTGGACGATTATTTCAAATTTTTGTGATTATTTGCATCTTACAGTTATTTTTTTTCATCTTTACCATGAATTGCAGGAGAGATTATATCTCATGTATGGCAAGAAACAAGGGCTGCTCTAAAAAAAAAAAAAAAAAAAAAAAAAAAAAAAGGGGGTTTTTACTGAATTAAGTGTAACAAATTCTCCTGCAAACCATACCAATTCCTTTCAGCTCAACTCAAGAGCAGTTCATTTTCAGTTCAACTATGAACTTCTAACTTCTCTTAAACTCAGTCAACTGATTGACAAAGCATGCTCACAACTCCAAAAAGGTATGTAATAACCACCTCCTACAATTTTAAGAGGTTACTGAAGAGGATTTTTCATAACTATTCATAAAGGTAAAATTCTAGTACAAATAAACACTGCATATTCATCAAAACTGTTTACATACGGATTCCTGCTAGAGAAGACTGACAGCCAAAGTTGTTAAGTGAGAAAGTTCAGTTTCTTTTTCCACATGATGGTCTTTGAAGGCAAATAAATGTTTTATTATCAATAGCTATGTTAAGCATAGAAAATCACACTATATGTTACAGGAGCTCAGCGCCTTCTTTTCTTGTATTTACTGACCCGTCAAACTCAAACTGATGGCCTAAAACTGACAGAGGACAAAGTGAAAATTCATCATGTCCTTGACTGCTTTTGTCTGTTAGCTGTAACAAAGGTGTTGTAACTTGCCTCCTTTGCAAATCCATCATTATTGACTAAAGAAACCCAGGCTTATCTACAGTCGGCTGAAATAAAGGAGAATGGTTTTGGTGAACTCAAATCTTTTATCTGCTGTCTACTTATCCTCTTCTTAGAAGAAGAAGAAAGAAATTATGGCTAGTTATGATTCCGAAAGAAGGGAAAGCCATCTGGTCTGTTTCCAGATAGAGCCTAATTAGAAATTCACCACATTCACTTAATTCAGCATTCTCTCATGTCCTCAGGAGAGTAGTTTGAAAAGATTTCCTAAGACAATGATACCCATTAATCAGCCTACTTTGCAGACTCCGTCAAAATGCCAAAGCACCAGCTAAATGACAGGGCAGAGCTGTGGCATTCTCATTTTCACAATATTCACAATCACAGTTCAAGCAGCAATACTCCTTTTTCCATCTTCGTTTTTGTTTGGTTGGTGGGTTTTGTCTCAGATTTATCTTGCTGAGCTTCACTAATAATGCTGATATTATCATAGAACCTCCAAAGTTGGAAAAGACCTCCAAGACCATCAGCCATCCACCTATCACCAATATTTCCACTGAACAACGTCCCCCAGTACAACATCTAAATGTTGAACACTTCCAGGGACGGTGACTCCACCTCCTCTCTGTGCAGCCCGTTCCAGCCCTGACTGGCGACATCTCAATTGACACAAGCAAATAAATAAACTAAGTTAGAAAAGGCTACTATTTAAATAATGTTTCTGTCCCTTCAAAGTCTATAGTTGTAGTCAGAAAAGGAGAACATCCGCTAAAAACTTAATATACTTTTGAACAGATGAGACTCAATCCATCTTTTCCTCAATCTCTGAGTCCTCTGTGTTTCATTCCAGGAGAAAACTAAGTTAGATGAATGAAAAATAGTCCATCATTTACCCAGAGAAACAATTACTGTTGCCATACATAGGGATGCAATAATATCACTTGAAATAAACTAGTTTAAATAAATTGAGGAAAAAAGAACAGGAAAAAGAAACTGCCTGCCCGATCAATAAAACCAATGGCACTGGGAGACAGTAGTGTTTCAGCTGGACCCTCACTGAGATGCATGGTATTTTTATGCCATCTTTATGCCAAGTTTTTACACTCCATTATGATTTTGGAACATTTTTATTTTGGTTCAGAGGAAGTATCAATTTCCCTCACATTTCCAACAGCCACCTCTTCAGGAGACCTTGAAGAGCTTTTCCTCTATCATATATCTCAGGGAGCAAGTAAAATCAATAGAAAAACGTGAGAGAAGGAAAAAATAGAAGGAAAAAAAAAAAAGCAAATCTCTTTCCTTCAGCGTGAAGCAAGCATTTTTAGTTTGGTGCTGTGTTGACTGTAAGCAAAATGAGCTTTCACAGTAGTTATGCATGGTACAGAGAAACCTTTATGTATTTCAAATGGGTCACAAGGATCAACAAAAGAATTTCAAAATTAATTTTGGAACCTGCAAATTATTCCTTTTGTGTGTGTATACAGACTCGCTCTGCACTTGTAAGGAAGGGTTTATTCTGAGACTTCTTTTCTACTTTCATTGGCATTAAGTATCAAAATAGCATAAATTCATGCACAAATATACCCCAATTACAGCTTTTTCTGTTATTATTATTTTTTGAATCCCACTGGAATACTTTGTGGATAACGCAAAAGCAACAGAAATGCACACATGGCAATACTGAACAAAACATAAATTTTTATATATATAACAATTGCAAGAGGGGTTCAGAAAAGCACTTCAAAGCAATTGTATTATGAACTACTGTTACAGAAAAGGGTTACATCAACTCTGCAAAAACAAATACTTCTCTACTGTCCTTATGTATTGTTAGCTCACAAAGTGATAAAGCATTAGGAAACTTTCTGAAACGTCTCCCTTAAAGTACATAAGACAGCACATATTTCTTTAGTCACATTTCGTCTCCTATTTCAAAAAAAAAAACCAAACAACCCACCTGGCACTTTAGGATAAGTACAGCCTTTCCACACTTAAATGCCACAAGTGTAACCGAAACATCAGCTATTTGCTATTATTTCAGTTCAGACATAAACTTACCTAAAAATGGATCACTGTATTCTGTACTAGACAGCTTGAGCAAGTTGTTTTCCAAAGTCTCCATCACTTTAGCTGGAAGAAATACAACAGTCATATCAGCATACACACGTAACACACTCTTTTAAAGCTGTCAGTGACTCAAACAAAAAAATCCATGCTGCAATTTTAATGAGTATTTTCCACTGGCAGAAAAAAAAAGACTTTCTTCCTAAGAGAATTTTCCCTTGGTAGAGTAACATCACAGCAACATTTGCTGCCTATAATTAAGGAAGAATTTCTCAATATTTAGCAGCAGAAAAAAATTGTTAATTTACTCAATGCAGCTTCACACAGAGCTGTCAATAGTGTCTGGCAATAGTTAGCAATAGGGTACGCATACAGTGGCAGGGATCTCCAGCTGGAGTAGTCTATCTGTTAATTCATGTTTATTTGAACATAAATCCAAAATAAAAGCAATTCCTGCGTTCAACATGAAGCAAAATTCATAGGGATTTTCTGCCTTTTCTTTCATTTTCCTCATACCACTCTCCCTCGATGTGTGACAGTCAATGAACCAGTTTGCTCCCACATGTACATACTGACATCTAGTACAGAAAGCCCAGTATTTATTTTTAACTCTCTCCCCTAGGAGAGATTAATGAAACTCTCATGCTGTTTTGCAGCACATGTCAGAACTTCCTTGTCTTGTTTTCAGTGAGCAAATATAAGCTTGTAATTCAGAAAAATATAACAAAAACACATTTAAGACTCACTTTAAGCACTACAGAGATTGCGCTCAAGAATTCAGCAGCAAGGTTCTTCTGGAGATTGTGGGCAACTCTATCACTATCTCTTTAACAAGCTGTAAGATATCTAAACAAAGTGAAGATTATCAAATGTCCTTGTAATTTAACGGAAGATACTTAAAAAGTATATCTAAAATCACAAAATCACAGGGGCTGGAAGGGACTTTTAGAGATCATTGAGCCCACTGAGCCAGCTAGCGCAGGCTCCCTACTCAGGCTAAACAGGAAAGCATCCAGGCAGGTTTTGAATATCTCCAGAGAAGGACATTCCACTGTCTCTCTGGGTAACCTGTTCCAGTGCTCTGTCACCCTCAAAGTCAAGAAGCTTTTCCTCATATTCATACAAAACTTCCCATGTTTCAGTTTGTGCCCACTTCTCCTTGTCCTATTGCTGGGCACCATAGGTGTCCTGTGTGCCTGCTACCCAAACATTTGATTCCTCTCCATTAGATATTTACAAGCATTGATATGATCTTCTCTCAGACTTCTCTTTTTCAGGCTGAACAGTCCCATGCCTCTCAACCTGCCCTCATAAGGAAGATGCTCCAGGCCCATAATCATCTCTTTGGCTTTTGGCTAGTCTCTCCAGCAGTTCTTTGTTTTTCTTGAACTGGGGAGCCCAGAATTGGACAAAGCGCTCGAGACGCAGCCTCATCAAGCCAGACTTCAGGGCAAGGATCACCTCCCTTAACCTGCTGACCACACTCTTTGTAATGTACCCCTGGACACCACCAGAAGGGCACTCTCCTGGCTCCTTTCCAGCAGATCAGCCCAAGATACCACAGGACACTGAACAATGATCCCTTCCATTGCCAATGTGGAACAAGATGCTGAGAGACAACAGCCTCTTACCTCGTTCTGACACTACATCAACGGTAGCTGTAGATGTTCCTGCACTCAGAGGCTGAGGCTGTACACGATTTGGCTGCAGAAACGAAGAATGCTTGCTCAGACTCTGAGGATGCGTTTGGCTCTGTGCTAAGCATGGCATAGATCTTCTAGAGGGTTTCAATGGGTGCTCCTTCACCGTCTCACTCTTGCTTGTATTCATACCTGAAGAAGTGAAAAGAAAAAGCACAAAGCTCTGTTGTATTACACCATAACAAAGAAAGACTACTAATTCAATTATGAAAATTCAAGGTTTCATCCAATTAATAAGCAACTCTCCAACTAAATCAAAATGCCTTAAGTATTTAATTCTGAAGAACTCCAGGCTGTGTACAGAATCTAGCAATTCCTTACCCACCCTTCTATCAATAAAAACAATCAAATTCACAATATGCTTAATGATGTAACTCTGTGGTACATATTAGTGCAGTACTGTAGTGTGTCAACTTCATTACAATCATTTACCAAACGGAATGCAGAAAATGAAAATCCTCAGAGAAAAAGCATAACAAAAGAACAACGGAACAGGTAACAAACTAGTGGAAGAGAATGGAAATCTCACTCTTTTTCTGAGTTTGCCCCATGTTAACATTACAACTCCATGTTGTAATGGTTAGCAAGTTCTCTGCTGTATGTCCTTGTTGGTGACAGAACAAACAACACAATAGCTGCTTGTACTGTGTGCCTGGAAACAAGAAATTGTCCTAGATTCTTCCTAGATCCTAGATGCTTGCAGTATTGGGCATTAAGATTGTTACCAGTCATTCAAACATCTGGGCATGTTCACTCACTAAATCCCTTTCTGTTGCTTCCCTTTATGTTAAAAGTTTCCCTTTATGTTAATTGTAATGCTCATTAAGACTAAATTGCAATAACACAATAATTTCTTAAATTTCTACTTTTTCTATGGATTCACAGGGGGACAGTAAGTAATCCAAGTACACTTGTCTAGGCAAGTAGAACCGATGATGCTTTACTGACAAGAAATAAGGGGAATAAAAGATACGATTTATGGTCACTCTACTTGAAAGACTCTTTCCCAGGTGCTCAGAGTCTGCCCCTGCCCAACTCACAGTGCTCAGAACTTCCCCTGTCATCAACCCACTACAGAATCGTTCATCGACACACGCTGATAAGACGCATTATCATCTTTGTTGACATTATCACTCTTACAAGGTAAGATTCAGACTTTAATACACTACAGGAACGTTATTTTTTATTATCTCAAGCATTATGAAAATGTCTCATATTACTTTAATTACACAAAACTATGGAAATGTAAACATGAAACTTTTAATAGCAATTAAAATACACGTACTCACTGCACAGTAGATATTTCACGTGAAAGCAAGAGTCATTTAAGACAGTAACTTGCTTTACTATCTGCATTGCCCTCATTTTTTTTCTTGCTACTGAAAGTTCAATATCTTGTTTCTCTTTTTGGAAGCACTGAAAGAAACTGCTCGCTACAGGGAAGGAGCTTCTTGGAGAACTTGCTCTTCCCATGGAAATATGGACACGGGAAGAGAACGCCTCAATGAACGCTCAGAATTGAGTTTTCTGTGTCCAAAATGAATTAGTTTGTCTCAAAATGACATCTCGCTGTGCTTCACTTAACTATTAAAAGCAACGTGGCAAAGCTTTGAAAAACAGCCAGGAAATGATTGGAATAGGAAAATAATATCCCACCACTTATTAGTGGCACATATTTTTTGTCTGGATATTAAATCTTACAATGCATGTCACAAGTAACACGTCGGCCAAGGCATTGGGTCCTCTTAAAACATTCGTTTTGAATAGATGTCAGACTTTGTTTAATTCAGCATTAACGTCTGGATGTTGTGAAACTGATTCTCAGTGTTTTCAAAAAACTGCCCTATGTATTTTCAGAGGGCACGACAAAAGTCAAGCACTTTCTCAAATGCTGAGTTTAAATGTACATTTTACCTCTGCAATGGATTTCCTTACGGCTTGCCTACAGAGAGCTCTGAGGCCTTCTGTCTGCGTGGGGCCAACAGATCTGTGATTGCTGTAAACGCCAAGAATTCTCAAAAGATTAGTGGGGAGAGCCCATTTTACTACACTACTTCTCTGCTGTAATTGCAGCGTAATTTACACTGCAGCAAATTCTTCTAAATCTTTATCTCCTGATGTTGTACTTTACCCTCTCCAATTGCACTGGAAAGAAATGGGAAATAGAAATATCTCTGCTGCTTGGAGTGCCATGAATTTCTGAGGCATCTTCCTCAAAAAAATCCGAAAGTTGTATATCTCTTCTCTGAAACTCAGCATAGGACTCCATGATGAAAGGCCTTTGATTCTGATATTTACCTACAATGGCTAAGGGTTGAAAAGGTCTTTCATTTCATGACTTTCCCAAGCTCACACACCATGCTTTGCTCAATTCAGTGCTAATTTGAGGTTAAAGCAGACAGAGGTAAACTCCTGCTGCCTCCAAAGGTACCACAGGTCATTCAGTAATTATGAGTAGAAAGGGCTCTGCTTCTTAATGCTTCTGAAATGAAGGCTCTGTGCCAGCAGCACATGGAGGGGCACTGGGCTATGGCCCCAATTTTGTTCTGCTCAAACACAGCTGGCCAGGCAGCGTCTGCCATGCTGCCCAGACAGGTTTATGAGACCAAAGCTATGCCAGCTAGAGGAATGGGTGCTCCAGAATAATATAGGAAGAGATGGATTTGATAATTATGCTGGATAGCTTTAACGCTCAGTTTCTTGAGCAGTCATATATGATCAGTAATCATAGATCCTACTGCATCATTAGAACTGCTGGCAAAAAAAAAAATAAAAATGTTTCCATCCTTACTGAAATCACTGTATGTAAAAAGATGAACCATTTTACTGCAAAAATAATATAACGTAAAGCAAATAATACACACTGTCATTCAATTTTAACAATTTAAGTAATCTGTATATTTTAGAAAGTACAACTATTTTATAAGACTGCCTCAATTTAAATGGAAATTACTACAGTAAGCACCTCTTACTGTATGTGTGCCTTTTAATACAGACCTCTTACTCTGTGCCTTTTAATACAGATTCCTTAACATAAAGGAGCTTCTGCTTGTGCAGAAGTCACAACAGAACAATCTCGTGGCACATTTACACACAGTTGCATGATCTGCCTTCACAATGCAAATTTAATACGTTAATCCATTCTCTGCTGGAGTGTCCCAGTCCAGTTCCACAACTGGTGAGCTTTGGTGGCATTTGCTGTTGCAAACCAATGCTTGCTCATCTCTGACATTCCAACAGCTTGTGGTTGACATGGTAAAGAAGGTCACTAAACTGATTTACTGCAATTACTCCTCTTCCTTCCTCTCCTTCTATCTGGGGTGTTTTCTCAAACCTGGACCTTTCCCACTGTGACATTACAACAATAATTGCTGTGTCAGGGATATTTGGAGCTGCTATAAAGGACAAGAAACTGCTTGTCAAATTTATGGGAGACGTGGGATTTCAATGAAGGAAATCCTAATGACCAGCACAAAAGTTTTGGAACGTGGTGAAAATGTCTGTTGTGCATACTGTAGCAATATTAGCACAGCAGCAAGATTGTTGAAACAAAGGATTAAGATTGCTATCAGACAGGCAAGATCATGACTTGAAAAACAGTACGTTTTTTCTGTTTAAAGTGCATCTAATTAATCCTTCCCTGCAGAATATTTCTCTGGCACTTAGCATGAGCATGGATACGAGCACAGGATGACTAAAGAAATCTCTCACCTAGGAGAAAAGGGTGCTCAAAGTTTACGACTTGATCAAATCCTGCCTTTTATTTTAGCACTTTTGCCCACTTTTCTGAGGGAAAACAGGGGATTCCTGCTATGTAAGCAAATCCCTCCGTGGCTCAAAGCCAGGATAGCCAGCTGTACTACATCTCACAGCTCCCTGGCAGGGCAGGCAGGAAGGATGGAGCTTCAGCGCGAGGAGCTTTCCTGATGATTAAATCAGCATGCACAATTTAATGCACACTCAACTTTCTGCCAATCTAGAAAAATTTCAAACAAAATCAGCTGTCAGATGCCTCCAGGTTTTGGCCAGTAGAAACAAAGAAGTGGAAGATTCTCCTATGTCGCAGTCTGTGAAATGCAGTTAATAACTTCTATTAAGAGCAGGGAAAAAGACATTTTACATTTAAGGAACTCTGAATTGTATCTGAGGGAAGTTTTATAGGAAAGAAACATATGCACTGTTAACCTAATACTGGAAGCACACTCGGGAAGACTTGATCAGTGCTAATGTAAAAAAGAATAACCTAAGAACTACTGCCCATTAAATCCCACATAAATCTTAGCTCGAAGCAGGAGTAATTACTATAAAAGTCAAATCTATAGCTTTACAGAATATGTAATGATGTCCACAATCAATGTCAACAACACACAGATCTCACCAACAGCTTGCATAATCAAAAGCATTTCTCGATAAAAGGACTGAGTTGTAAAAAACAAAAACAACTTCAAATGCAACACCTAACTAATTCAAATGAAGCGTCGTTCAAGAAGCACAATGAGAAGCTGGAATTTCAAATGTCAATGTCATCATTATTAGACTGTCTAGTAAAGTACAATACAAAGAAAGAACTGCAATAGTTTTCATGACATTTATAATTCTTCATATTTCTACAGCGGAAGAATAAATCAGCTCCATTTGGAAGAGCACAATAACATTTAGGTGTCATAGGTACTTACTGCTAATGAACACACTTACTCTGATTGGCAGCTGCAACCTCCAAAAGCAAACGTATTACATGATCACTTCTCTATTAAACTCTGGGAAATCATAACCAAAAGATATAACAACGAAGAAAGAATAATTTACATTAGTAGCAGCAAATACTAGCTCTCATCTGTTTGAAGTACCTCAGCAAATACTGAGGATATCCAGTTTCACCCAGGTGATTTACAACTGAGCAAGCTTATGAACTCCAATTTTCTAAGCTATGTTTTCAGATTGCCTTTTCCATTATGAAATGAGCAGGTCAACATTATTTCTTTCAAATGTCCAAACGCAGCCATGAGGAAATGAGTAAAACTCCCAGACTAGCCAGTAAATGCCTCCTGAACAAGCATAACGGACTGTGATGGCATTTTTCATTGTCATCCCACATATTAAATTGACTTATGAAGGTGTTCATTATATAATGA